GCAGAGGAATGGCATTACTTGAAGTAGACCTAATGCATATTGTTGCCAGTGTGCTGTAGTTGCCACTACAAAATTTTTCGTTAGTTACAATTAATTAGTCACAATGACATTTATGATTCAAGAAGTCTGGCCTAATTATGAAATTCTTTGTGACAGTAGGCACATATTGAAATAACGCCAGACTGCGGTACTGCCAATAACACACTAATTGCAAGCTCATTTTTTTCTCTTAATAAGAAAAGCCAGCGAAATCTGAAATCATACGAGTGATCAAACGGCTGGCCACATTAGTGTGCTTCAAAAAATAGCACCCTCAGTAAAGCTCAATTTGAGGTAGCCAATATCAATGAAATAAATATAGAAAGAAAAGGAAAACACGAGTTATGCTATTTACCACTTCCCGAGCCGTCTAATGAAATGCACCGCTTTGATTTTACTCAGCTAGGCTGCAATCTGAACAGTGCTCCAGCTGGGTCATTAATGAGGACATGTAAGAATAGTAGAGTGGGCTAGTTGGTTTAACGTATCAGAAATTCAAGGCGTGAATACCGCATGGACATAGAAAAAGTGCACACACATGGAGCGCCGTAATGAGGATAGTTGGCCATGAGATATCGATAATGACAGTGACGTACAATTATGCGGAAGGAATCTCTGCAAATTCGCAACACATGCTGCTGGCGCCCAACATGTGCCCTTGCCGATGTACGTAACGCTGTATCTGGCAATGGTAAAGAGGTAAAGCAAATGATTGCGGTAAGCTTATTTGAGGGCACAACTTTTTTTTTTTTTTTGAGGGTGGGGAGATGTCACTTGTTATTTTTCACATTTTGCGGGTTTTCTTTTATAAATAACACTGTTGAGTATCCCTTGTCTCAGCTTGTGGCTGCATCTGTGCAGTTGTCTCTGCTTGTGGCTGCATCTGTGCAGGACTGATAGACAGAGCAGACAAGGCGACAGTGAGTTAAGGCAACATTTATGTACAGTATGAACAGAGGCCTTACATATTCGACATGGGGTTGACCGCCTAAGGAGCTCGCACTAAGGTGCAACGATGAGCCGAGATTTCTCCTGATGCTCTCCCTCTCTTGGGGCAAGAGAGGGAGGCCCTGGAGATCCCTTGCATCGGCCAGCAGGAAGCCTCAAATCAGGAACCGTTGCTGGTCGTGGGCTGGAGTTGCACCCTTGGACGAGGGGGTTGCCACGTGTTGCATAAGATGCACCACAAGAGAGGCCATTGATTGCATCAGCTGCCTAGAATCGAATCCGTGGGTGAAGGGCTTGTCAAGGGTTGGGTAAGACGCACTGCTAGTGATGCTGGCGTTCGCGTCAGCCTGGCTGCGCCCCCACTGCCAGACAATACGCTAGGGACGAGCTGCTTTCACATGGCTCAGATGCCGGGCGCGCTCATTTGCCAGCTCCCTCCAGGTTTGCCTCCAGTGTCATGAAGAGGATGTGGCTCTAGGCTCAGTTCAGTGATCAGATCCTGTTCTTGAAGAAGTATCCCAACTCCACTGGCTTGTCGCCAAAACTTGTCTACTAGCTTCGCTCATCTCTTCTGCCACTTTGTGGTTTCAGTACTTGTTGATGGTTCTGCAACTTGTCAAGAACGGTTCAACAACAGACAATACATGACCCAAGCAAGGCCCTCGATTATCCGACAGAACACTAGACATAATATAGCATAATATAAATACGTGTCTATCGTGATTTCGTTTCCTCTATATCAAGAGGCACATGTGGGACACAAAACTCTTAGAACCATAACTCAAAATTTTACATGTGCAACAACATTTTGAAGTAGAATACAACATAAAGTTGGCTCCTTGAGATCACTCATGACCGGAGCGCTTAGCTAAGGCCGTGATGAGTACAAAATTTTCCTCCGACTTTCGAGCGAAGGACCGAAAGGGGGACAAGGTACCGACTAAAACGCACGGCTCAATGCATCTGCGTTAGCGTTTAGCTTTCCTTTCTTGTAACAAACGTCCAAATTGTGTCGTTGGAGCATCCTCCTCTACCTCAGTAACCAGCCACTTTTAGCCGACATGTTATTTAACCAGGTTAGAGGACAGTGGTCTGTTTTGACCACAAACCTCGAACTGGAGACATAACAGGCTAGCTTTTCAATGGCCCGCATGAAACATAGGCATTCCTTTTCAGAGGTACTGAGTGCACCTTGCCTGCCCCGCCGCGGTGGTCTAGTGGCTAAGGTACTCGGCTGCTGACCCGCAGGTCGCGGGTTCTAATCCCTGCTGCGGCGGCTGCATTTCCGATGGAGGCAGAAATGTTGTAGGCCCGTGTGCTCAGATTTGGGTGCACGTTAAAGAACCCCAGGTGGCCGAAATTTCCGGAGCCCTCCACTATGGCGTCTCTCATAATCGTATGGTGGTTTTGGGACGTTAAAGCCCATATATCAATCAATGAGTGCACCTTCCCTGCAGCTCAGTTTTCGGCTTTAACACAAAAATGGCCTTTCGTTGCCAGCACTATCTTCCTGGCACAGTATAGCTCCCATTCCGCATTCACTTGCGTCGCATTGAAAGACGAAGCCCTTAAAAAATTCGGGTTCCATACGAACGAGCTTTCACATAAAACTTGTTTCAGCTTATAAAACGCATTTTTTTTTCTGAGTCCCAGACCACCTTAACTGGCTCGGACTTTTGAAGTGCGTCAGTCAGAGGGCTGGCAATGCTAAAGTAGTTTCGCACGTTATTCTAATAGTATCCAGCTAGGCCCAAGAATGCCCTTATATCAGATATTGTGGTTTGTCGTGGATAGCTCACAACGGTGGCTACCTTAATTTCTGAAGGTCTACGCCGGCCACGACCCACAGCGTGTCCCAGGTAAAACATCTCGCCGCACTTGAGGTGATATTTAGCAGGTTTTGCAATCAGGCCAGCATCTTTCACCTGTTCAGCAAAACTCGTAAATGCTCGACCAGATTAGATTGCGGGTAATGGATCGAGCTGTGTTCTATTCTATTCCGCATTAATCCAAAAAGGTACAGCTAAGGCAGCTGGTGAAGACACTATTGTTGTTGCATTGGATTTCAGAAAGAAATCCGACGCGTGCGAATATAGAGAGCAGAGCATCCACAACATAAGGAGAATTGAGCTCCCTAAGTGCTATCGCTTCTGGGAATTTTGTGGCTACACAGAGGGCCATCACGGTGTATGGACAGCTTTGCGTTGACTCTGGCAATGGCTAGGCGGTATCAATGACTAGACACGAAAAGGTTCTGTGATAATTTGCACAAGCATCATGGGTGCCTTCTACTTGTCCGTGGATTTCCCCCGCTCTCTGACAAGTGCCGCATGAGCGCATTAGTCATTCGGTAATCCTTCCAACTTTTCGGCCAATAAAACTCAAGGGAAATTCTAGCCTTGGTCTTCTTTAAGAAGAGATGCCCTGCGCGCCCGTTTTCATGCGCCTAGTTTCCAATTGTCGGCGACGATACTTTTGTGGCACCAAGAGCTGCTCATACTTGCGACCTTGCACATCTGTGTAGCTATGATACAGGAGCCCTGCTTTCTCATAAAAAGTAACATTCTTTCTCTTTGTTCCCAATTTTATGCTTTCCATTAGCGCTTTGATCGAGAAGTCCTCACGCTGCTCTCAGAATGAGCGTTTCTCGATCAACTCTCGACTGCTCACACCAACTTTTTGCTACAGGCGAGAGCGTGCGCCCCTCTCACTCTCACCCAACTCTGCCACTGCGTCGCCTCCTGCCAACAGAGACAACACCACTCGCTTTAGCTACGGGCAGCTCGAGTAACTCACACAAAGAGTTTTTCTCTCCGAGGCTCCGTCAACTCGTCGCCAAGGTCGCGCAAATCAGCCGCTTTTGCAGGTGGTGTTTCATTACATTGAACGAGATGAAGTTTCTGCGAAAGCTTCCGGGCTTGCGATCACGTGAAGGCCATGTACGCTAAGTTGGAAAAGAAAGATTTACCCTGATTTTTGAGAAGCTGTTCAGAGTTATTCAAAAAAGATAAGAAAAACAATCAGGAAGTGCAGCAGGTACGGCCGCTTCAGTGTGAAGTTTACCAAAAGAGCTTTCAATGACAATCGTAGCAATTGATAAGCCAGTAACACAGGCCTATTAACTAGCTTCCATGCCCTGAATTTAGGTGAGTGAGGTGCTATTACCCTTGCAAGGTTATTTGCACCTCGTGGCATGTGTGTGTTGTACAGATTAGATGCATTTGTGTTTAACAGCCACCTAGCAACGGGTGGCTCGTGCAGAGCAGTAGGGCCATCTGCACCTTTGTGTTTGGTGGTGGTTTTGGATGCATGTCTCCTGCATGGAATCGCAGTGAAGGCAATCACAAGCCGTTTCCCGTTAGTTCCTCATGGGGAGTTGAACATTGGTAATGGCCCATTTGTGGCACCTTATTGTGTTATTTTGCTTGAGTTTGGTATTGCAAATCTAGATGAGTTTTTTTTGGTGTAACACTAGTGACGTATTATTTGTTTGATCACCCCTCTTGAAATGTCCCATGTGGGACCTTTCAGGCATAATGAATAAAACTGATTTGGCTGGCAATATGGAATGGAATAAAAAAACTTTATTTGGAATGAAAAAACTTTAATTTAAACTGGCAATATCGTGGTCGTAAAAGCAGGTGAATCAATGCACAGATGTGTGGCTTGCATGAGTATGTCTGCTGTGTCTGTGTGTTCCGAGAGCACAACGTTTCGAGACACCGCAGGTGCCATGAAGTGTTGTTAGCAGATGTGCTGAAAATTCTGTCATAGGTGTAGACCTTAAATTGATACTGTCTAACTGGGTAGATTGCATGATTTCCCACCTGCATGGATGCACTGGTGATGGCAGCAGAAGCCAAAGGTGTCATAACTGTGCTAGTTAGCAACAAAAGCAATGCAGGCTGTTGGTAGTGTGATGTTGCGAGTTTCCCACTGTAAGAAGTGTCTTGTGCCAGTGTCTTCTACCTGCTCTTTGTTGGTGCTGCAAGTGAGCGATGCTTTGCCTGCAGCAGAGGTCAACAGTGCCAACCTGTACAGCAAGGACAAGCTGCTGCAGCTGTTTCGGACCATCCATCCAGAGTCGAGACAATCCAAGGGCAAGACTGTTATTGGCTTGGTGAGCACATGATCCTCGGTAGGCGAATTCATGTGGAATATTTGGTCGAGCCATTGGAGCGCTGCAACCATGTGTTGTTAATTATTGGTGCTATTTTCCTGTGCTGTACTGGCACTCTTTGGTGGCCATCAGTAGCCACCCTTGTGCCGTAAAGCATTTTATATCACCATTGTAATCCAATACGAGCCTTGCTCTTCACTGGGTCGATTTCATCGGATGCCTGTCCATCCCATTACAGTTATTGAATGGGCGATGAAGGCAGTACTGTCAGTGACAACCCCTGCTGTTTCTGCCACCCTTTCAGTAACTGTAGTAGCAGACATCGACAACATGAAAGGGCCAACATGAAGGGACTCTGCAGAAGAAGATGAAGAGCCCAGGACGACCTCAGTTTTCTTTATTCTTGCACAGTCACCGCTGGTGAAACAAAATGAGAATGAAAAAAATGCCGGGCCTCTGATGAAGGGCAGCACAATGCAAAAGCTAAAAGAGCTGCCTTTGTGGAGCACATTGCAGACTCTCCTGGGGCTACTATTACATTTACACGTGGGATTCACTAGATCATAAATCATAATTCTTGTAAAGTTGGAAAGCACCCGCCATGCCATTATCTCTCATTCTGTGGGCAAGTGTGGTACCTGTGGCACACCTTATGGTATTATGAGAGCTTTGAAGATGCTCTGATGAAGGGCAGCACAATGCAAAAGCTAAAAGAGCTGCCTTTGTGGAGCACATTGCAGACTCTCCTGGGGCTACTATTACATGTACACGTGGGATTCACTACATCATAAATCATAATTCTTGTAAAGTTGGAAAGCACCCACCATGCCATTATCTCTCATTCTGTGGGCAAGTGTGGTACCAGTGGCACACCTGTATGGTATTATGAGAGCTTTCAAGATGCCTTGGCTGATGACAAGGAAGAGTGATGGCTGACCTTGTGTAAGGATTTGGAAGCATTAAGTGACCCACTAAAGTAAAACCTCGTTTATCCGGATTTCATTAATTCAGACATTTGGTTAACTTAGACTCTCGGCGTGGTCCTGGCAAAATTGTGTATACTTCAATGTTGTCAAATGCTTATTTGGAGAAATCTAGCCGTGCTCCGGTCAACCCTGCTTGGAGGCTCCATTACTGCTTGCCGTAACCGACGGCGAAACCAGAGTTTCGGAGAAACCGTTACTAAATGAACTGCAGCAGAATATGATCACGATGGCCACCTAACCACCATAAAGCCATCATCAACACAACTGCTCGCTAAGCCTACACTGTTGTTCTTTTTGTGTTGCGACTTCACGCATAGCATGCAAGCTCACACACGTTGCATTCTTTGGCTGCGCTTGTGCGCGTTGCCGCTGCCGTCGCTATAGACGATGCCTCAAGGTTTGTAGACTACGTCGCTTAGAGAATAATGTTGCCATTGCTGGTCCTATTAGTGACGATGACATATTATCAGAAGTGCTTGAAGAGGATGAGTTGAGTTGAATGAACTTTATTTGTATGAACTTTATTTGTCCAACGGTTGTTGCGGTGCCCGGGGCTAGGCTGCCAGGGACACATCGTTCGAAGAACATCTTCCTAGGGCCTCGCTGAGAGGATGGCAGCCCTCATTTCAGAGGGTCCCTCAGTTGGCGTCGTCCTATTTCGTGGCCCATCTTCAACTCTTGTGCATTGCCAAAGTATATGTGCCATATCTGCCTGTTCGTGCGCGCACCACGGGCAGCCAGGCGACGGGTACAGCGTGGGCCATAGGCGGTGCAGATGGTAGGGGTTGGTGAAGGTGCCCGTCTGCAGCCTTCTTAGGTTCACCACCTGCGACATGTGCAGGTGCACATGGGGTTGCGAAAATTTCTTCCGGTCTTTCCTATACTACTCAAGCACACCGTGGTGCATGGCAGGAGATTCTTCTGTATAGCAGTCAGCGCATTTCTGTTGCCTGAGAATCAGTGTTCGGATGATGACAGTCAAGATGAGCTCACACGACATCACACTGTGCAGGAGGAGGTTGCCGAAGCCCTCGTTGTCGTCGAAGAGTTATGTGTTGGTTCAACAGCGAGTGTGCGCACTATCACCTGTTGGGGTTCACAAAGATCATTTTAGCACTGATTCCGATGACGGGGCAGACCAAAATAGCCAAGTTTGTCATGAAATAAAGCTTTCTGTATGCTGGGTACATTTCTGTTCTGTTTTCATGGTCAATTTGATAATCCAGAATTCGGTCAACTCGAGACATTTTCTTTGGTCCTGTAATGAGGTTTGGCTGTAGTTAAGTAATTCCCATTGTGTGACTTGTGGGCATTATTTTACTCTCACCACGCTGCATTATGTATCTTGAATGTAAACATTTGACAGATGTCTGTCTGGTTGGGTAGGTAAACTGGGAAACAGTATAAACTCCAACCAAAAAGTGCGTGAAAATGCATAAACCCAGCGTTTTAAAACCGACCTGATTCCTTTTTCAGGGGGGACTGTTATGTATCTTTCCTACATAGCTGCGAGGAAGCTATCTCGGTGCACTAAAAGGTGCGTCTTTTTTCCCCGCCTTCAGCCTTGCGGTAGAGGTTCTTAAATGAGGAAAGAGAAGAGAAAAGCGCGGAGCTGTTATCGTCTTTCAATACGAAGGCACTGACACGGCTTCGCGCGGGGAAAGGGGGAGTGAAAGGTAAAGATTGAGGAGGAAAGTATAGGAGGGAAAGGACGCAGACGACTGTCTCGGACGCGGCCCGCGCTGCCGCCGGGAAAGGAAAAGCAGTCAGGCGAGCCGGCATGGGCGCGCCATGTGCGCGCTTTACACCCGGACTCACGCGGCAGCCTTGCAGCTTGCAGTCGTTGCAGTCTCTATAGTGTCAACGGCACACTGCACACTTGTTGCAAGCTCCTCCCCCGTAGTATCGGCAGGCATCGGTCGTTGTGCTCCGCAGTGTTCGTGCGTTCGGAGTTAGGCCTGTCGCGCGCTGTGGTGCGGGACAGGCCTAACTCCGAACGGCGGAGCTCACGGATGTGGAGATTGTCTCCGAAGCTACTGCTGAGCAGCCAAATGAAGACTCTGCCGAGGTGGATCCCGCAAGCGCTGATGGTGCCCCGCTCCCGACATCAGCTGAGGTCGTAGCTGCCTCGGCCCTTGTGCGCCGCCACTGCGGCACGATTGAAGGCACCGGCCTATCACTTATGGATCGCCTGGACTATATTGAGGACGCAGTCGTCAAATACGCCATGGCCAACAAAAAGCAGGCTACTCTTTTTCAATATTTTAAACCAACACAATAAATACTATGTTTGAATCTTCAAGTGAGTATTTACTGCACCACGCTTGAACGGTTCGTTGGTTATTTTCAGCAAGCTGTTGACGCATTTTTTTGTGATTTTTTATATCGAATTCTGGATATATCGAACTATTTCGCGATCGCCGCACCGTTCGATATATCGAGGTTCGACTGTACTTGAAATATTCTGGCGCGCTACTCTCTAAGACATGACAAGACACAAGGATGAATGCCGACTCCACTTATTGAATCAGCTGTCATTTATGCAATTTGTGGCTCTAGAATAATTTAAATTAATATTGTCTTGATATCAGCTCCGCATTTGTATGCACAAGAAAAATTAGGGTAAATATTTTCTATGCTTGTTCTGGGGGAACTTTCTCTTTTCATCTTTTACGAGGCTACTGTTTGCCATCAATCGCTCACTAGTCGACGCTCACATGAGAGCCGTGCTCACTGCCATTTTTGAGATGTCGATTTTCGGTGGCGATTCCAATCTGAAGTGGCATTCCTGACAGGGGCTTAATAGCAATTTGTTCAAGGGGCACTGGTAATTGGTGAGAGAGCTGTCTTTGATGCTTTATTTTTTTGGTAATGGCCACGTTTGGCCAGTGAATAAAAATAGTCCTCTCCCTGGTTGTTGTGAGTGTCACATCTACAAGTGCCCAATTCAAATTGGATCAAAGCATGCTTGAAACGCAAACTTGTACTTATCAGTAACCATCTTGCGTATGCGTGAAGCAGGTCAGCTATGCGTCATATGAACCAATATCTTAAGTTATCACGAAATCTAGAAAGGTCATCTCCTTAGCAGGAAGATGCACTGACTTGTCACTGGTGCGATAGTATAGTTTCTACCTTCGTTAATGTAGTTTGCTTTTAAAATTTTTCTTTAGGTTTTCGTCATTCCCCAACCTCAGTGTTGTCAAGCACAGGATGGCACCCGCCCTGCCTGCGTTGGCTGTGTAGATGAATGATACCACAAGTGTCACACTACGAGGAAGCGCTAGTTGGCGAAAAAGTTGTTTTGGTGTGATCTTTCTGCATAGCAGCCGAGTGTGTGTTTGTATTGTTTGGGTGAAGTTTTCTGAAGTGGCTATTTTCTCAAGTCACAGCATTTGGAAAGAAATGTTGCTGCCTACGTATGGTAATTTGCTCATTCTAGATTTGTACAGCCACAAAAAGGTGTTACTCTTTCTAAAACCAATGTTGTACATCTTCACAGGTCCAAAACAGTATACTTCATATTGAATCGCTGGTGTTTGGAGAAATATTCGCATGACATGGATGTGAATGTACTCAATTTGTATTGCAACATCATTATTGTAATTTTTAATGATGTATAACATTAGCGACAACATAGTTTTGAGCTGCTGTGTGCAAGATCACAAATTGAATTCTCTGGCATAGTGCAAAATGTTCATTGGAGATGAATGCAAAAAAGAAGAAAGAAAGATTATGCGATTGCTTTAGCTTAACAAATTCAGTGCCATGAAAATGAAGGCAACATTTTCCCCCTTGTCATTTATTACTTACTGATTGATTTGGAGAGGCTAAAAACGACAGTTTGATAATATACATAATTTATTGATTTGTTAATTGTGACACCTACAATGTGTTTGGATATTCAATCTGCCACTCAAGTCTTTAAGGACAAACTTGGTGTATGCATTGTCGCTTTGTAAAGATTGAGCCAGGAGAGGAAGTAAGAACGTCCTCTGTTTTTTTCATTAGGGG